CGATTTAGTGGATGTTTCAAGATTTGAAATTCCACATGTCCGTGAGTGAAACTCAAGGACGTTAAAAACTTGTTGCTGGTCAAAATGGTACATTGATTCCAAGACCATTAAGGCGTTGTGCCACCAAGAAAGAAGAAGAAGAAGTCTTAGATCCATTGAACCTAAATTTTTTACAGGTTAGAACTATTTGTGAAATTTTAATTCTAATGAGATTTTCAATATAAATTTAATTTTAAAGTTTTTACTTACCTATATGTTAAAAATTACACTAATTCTAAATTTTGTTTTTTGTTATGTTACCGGCAATGTAAAAAATCCGGCAATGTTTTATTATTTTATTATATAAATAACTACTGTTAATGTACGACACAACAATCACAACAATATGCAGAGATATTTGTATACAATACTAAAAGGACTTAAAGCGCCGTCAAGGTACTAAATGCGCTTTAACGCGCTTGCGTCAATAAAAATTCCGTGTGTTGGCGGGAATGCTTGCAAGAGTAATTTTGAGTCACTTACTGTATTGAAGGAAAATTTCATAAAACTATAAAAAACTTGAAATTCAATAAAAATTAGTTGACTGTGTGTTATAAATAAAGTCTCATAAATGATTAAAACTAGAACCAGCTACCTACCTGTTATGCAGTCTATTATTTTTCAGGTTTAAAAATTGTATACCCTAATACCACCAGAATTATCTATTTTCAGAAATAAACTAATAACTTTCATCGAAATAATAATAAGTTTGCCGTAAAAGTAAAAAAAATCTGAAAATTTACACAGAGTTTAACTTTCACCTCGAATAACTTATTAACGAGTGATTTAATCGAAAAATTATAAGAGACCTTTTTTGTAGAGCGTTCAATTTACTATAAGAATATATATGTCTCATTGCTGTAAGTCATCTTGCCTGGGAAAAGAAGAATAGTTCTGCAACTACTGTACCATCACTCAAGAAATCGCAATAAATCTATTGATGACAGCTGTTCAATCGTTGTACGTGAAGTGGCAGGAATTTGCAGTGAAGCAGTAGTTCCAACTCAAATTAATTCACGTTGTATAACAAAATTAATAAGTCTCTAAGCAGAATACAGAAATGTACAAAAACATCTTAACCAAAAAAATAAAACAAAAGAGCAAGATTTGTCAAATAAACTCGAACAATTATTTGACATTGCTCACGGTGACTTTTTTAAAATGATCAAAGAACTCGACGGATTTTTCATATAGGTAAATATTGTAAATAAAAATTGTATACCTAACTTTCATCGAAATAATAATAAGTTTGCCGTAAAAGTAAAAAAAATCTGAAAATTTACACAGAGTTTAACTTTCACCACGAATAACTTTTTAACGAGTGATTTAATCGAAAAATTATAATAGACCTTTTTTGTAGAGCGTTCAATATAATATATTATGTCTTATTGCTGTAAGTCATCTTGCCTGGGGAAAAAATAATTAATTGAAAAAAAGTGTCAAAATCCCATGTAATTTGAATGGGAAATGTATCGTCTTTGGGGCAAGGTTTATTATGAATATTAAGAGTTTATTTTGGTCTGAATTTTTTTTTTAGATGATAGACTAAAAATTTAGGGGGCGTCGCAAGAAAAAAAATCAACTTGGTAAATAACGGACACCCTAATACGTATAGACACACTCATCCGTGTATCACTGCTAGAGTATTCTACCGGGCCGCAAAAAAACATATTCGGTGCTGTATTAACATAACTTTTATTTAATACTTCGATTTATGAAATTATAATTTTGTAGTTGGATATTTTTTGCCAAAAAAAAAAACAACCAATAGTATATTTTTGTATATTTTTTACGTTTATTTTCTTAAATCAATTTAATTTAATTCAATGTTTACTTTTATTTCTTTTGTAATAAAGGATTTTTTTAATTAAAATAATGTTAAGTGGTTAATAATTTAATTTAAATTATGAGCACAGACAATATTGTGTGTATTATTATTATTATTACAATAATTAAAATTATAATAATTATTATTATTTGCATTGTGTGATTGTTATTTTGTGTTAAAAAAAGTAATAAATCTACCAAATATACTAAAGAAGAAAATGTCAAAAAATCTCTAACTTCACGCCTAAAATGAGGCGGCGCCCCATCGTGCAATAGCCACATTATATTTTCAGGTTAATCTTAATTTTAGGCATAATCTTAGATAGTAAACTTAACTGGTCGGATCATATTAGCATGATGAAAAAAAGGGATCTAAGGCCTTATTTACTATCCAAATGATGAAAAAAATCGGAACACATGAAATTGCCAAAACAGCCTACTATGCCAACTGCCACAGCCTACTTTCCTATGGTATTCTCCTATGGGGTACATCTCCTGCTTCTGCTAAGTTGTTTATATTACAAAAAAGAGCTATAAGGGCTATGTGTAGCTTAAGACAAACCGAAACCGACATACTTACACTACCTTCACTGTATATTTTTGAATCTATAAAATATGTTATGAATAATCTTCAAAGACTTACACAAAATAACCAACATAACCTAAATATGAGAAACAGAAATAAACTACATTATGTAGTCTACATATACCAATACACTCCAACTGGCCAAAATAGCAACAAACCTCAACATTCCCCTAGAATGTGAAACAGACATGAATGAAATGATACCTGAGATGAAAAAACAAATAAAAGAAACATGGAACAAATAATGGAAAATAATATCAAAAACTAAAGGAAAATGGCACAACGAAATAGAAGAAAACTTTCCAAGCAAACCCTGGTTTCACACTAACAAAATAAAAAATAGAAGACACCTAACAACAATAATACGCTTAAGATCCGGACACGGACTCTACAAATCACACTTGAATAGGATTGGAGTATCAGAAAGCCCCTACTGTTACTGGAATGTCCCATAAATAAAATCCCCGGAATTGACATATACTTTGAATTTGCAAAAAATGGTACCGTACTTCCAGCTAGTATACCCACAATACTAACAAACATAAATAAAAAAAATATAAACATAATAATAAAATACCTTGAAACAAACAAAATAAAATTCCAATCATATACTTTCAGATCCAACCAGAACTCAAATCCTGGGAACCTTTCCAAGGTAGCATCTTTGGGGTTGTCCAAGTCGCTTGGCCGCTGCCCCCAAGCGTGAAAAGTGTTTACTTTGTTGTGTTTAGTCCTTAATAACATTGTAAAATTAATTGTAAAAACAAACAACAAACCAGGTCAATACGAAAAAAAGAAAAAAAAACAAATACACAGTGACACAAGTACACAAGACAAGGGATGATAACGCTCAGACACTCTTAAATGGGAACCTTGTCTTTCAACTAAGAAAAAAATCGAATGAGCTGGCCAAATAGCTTATAAAAAAGCTAAAGGCCATTAACCTCTGAATACAGAGATACTCTGTATTAAGATTTATTGAATTGAATTATGAGTTCGATTCTGTTGGTGCTAGGGTACGGACCGCTCAATGAAAAGTTTGAAATATAGGTGACTCTTCGACCTAGGAGGGACAAAATTGGATTCCCGGAATATAAATATTCCTGTTTCTCGATAGTATTCCTCGATTTGTCCTTTTATAAAGGAAAAGAGGAATCTATATGAAGCTATAAATTTGAAGGTTACATAACCTATTTGTGTCCACGTGTTCGTTAGATAGGTAACCGTTGTCCAATGGTTTTTGGTTCTTCTGAAATCATTGGACGTTAAAACTTGGTGCTGGTCAAAATGGTACATTGATTCCAAGACCATTAAGGCGTTAAGCCACCAAGAAAGAAGAAGAATTGAATTATACCAAACACTCAAAAAAAAAGAACACAGCAGGGCGTTGACTACTGGGGAATCAAAATCTTCAACCATCTCCCTGAGTCTTGGAATCTCTTACAAGAAAAACAAAAACTTACTGTATTAAAATCACATCTACTTAGCAATTCTTTTTACTCAATTCAAGAATTTTTAGACCTTAAATTTTAATGAAATTATTTATTTTATATTTTATTGTTTAGTCTGTAAGTTAATTTTATATATACTCTATATTAGTATTTGTATATGGATGAAATAAAGTATCTATCTATCTATCTATCTAATCTTTCAGCAAAACAGGAAGAATATTTTGCAAAAAATGGAGGTAATCATTGCCGTTTAACCGATTTGGTAAAATAAATGGTCCAATTAACATGCCATTTATGATGCCTGCCCACACATTATCGAAAAAAAGATCTTCCTACAGTTTTAGGATTGTCTACAGCCCAAATATGTGTATTGTGAAAATTATTTATTCCATTGCAGGTAAACATGGCTTCATCCTTCACCAAAATCCATCTTAAAAAGTTGTTATTATTTCTATATTGCTCTAAAACCCAGGTACAAAAATTGACTCTGCGTGGAAAATCCTCTGGCTTCAAAGCTTAAACCCTCTGAATGTGGTAAGGATGAAGCTGATTTTCGAGCAGAGTTTTACAAACTTTCATGTAACTAATTGTTGGAGACAGTTGTCTTAGTACAATGGGTGTATACCTATAGGTGTATGTATCTTGAATAAATGTAGTTCTGTAATTCCCCGAATTTCTGAATAATGTACCTATGAAAACCTCTAGGATTATTCTAGAAGAATAATGTATGTTTGGTGTTCAGAACTTCTATGGTTTGACAGTTTAAGAATAATACACTCATGATCAAGAAAACTGGTAAGTTAAGATTTAAATGGAAAATTTGGAGATTAAAAACAAAATGTGTACCATTTAATACCATTAAATAGAGAACTTGGTACCACTTATTTGTTTTGCTCTCCTGGCAACACTGGCATTAAGTAACTTAATTTATTTGATATTCAACCTGTAAACGTGTGTAGGTTTAGAAAAATCCATATCATTAAAAAGGATTAATAATGCATTTGCATGGGTTTCATTTTTAATTAGGCTATAACTTTGGCCAGCAAAAAAATGTTTTAATCAAAAGGTTTAAAAAAAAGTAAAAAAACAATACTTACAACAGTTTGGAAGAGCTTTAGAAAAGCCATTCTGATAAAATGAATTTTAGTCATTAAATCATTTCCTTTTGATATCATATAAAATGCAGACAGAAAGACAGCAACTATTTTTTCTGGTCCTTGATAGGACTCCAACAAATAGTACAACCATGGCTGAATGGTTGTTATACTTCTGTATAATTGAGAACAAGCTTCAATGAACAAATAAATTTTACCCTAAAAATACAAATACCATCAGTAAAAAACATGATATTTTCACAGAAAACTTACCCTCTTTTTAAAATCTACAACTTTTCCTGGTAGCATTGTTAAAAATATTTTAATAGTGACTGTGATAAGTTTTAAAATAAAATCTGTAATAAGAACAATCCATAGTAAGTTCCAAACTGTTAACACTTGTGTAAAAGTCCTGATCAAAACCAAATTTAACACAATATTAAAATTATGTAGTTCATCCTCAAATACATAACGAATAAAAACCAAACAAGCAAAAATATATAACAACTCAATGGTTAATGTTGATAAACTCCTTCTGTGCCGTTTAGTTGCTTCCTTTTTCACAGTGGAATTTGAATGAGCAAATGTTATTAAGAGGATAATAATAATAAAGATCCCTTGATGGTAGTCATATAAACCTTTGGCAATAAGAATTAAAATAAATGGAATATACTTAAAAACCAAATTAAGGTATTGCTGAACTTCTATTTGTGTAGGAATATCAGGATTGTTTCCATCATCGGGATTGTTATTGTTGGCATTATTTGTGGGATCATTTAGGAAATTAGGTTCATGATTGTGGTTGTGTATGTTTACATCCTCAACATTAACTGGCTCAACTGATTCCAAATTTACCACAAAACTGTTTGATGGTTCAGCTAGACCAGGGTTGGCAATGTTTTCTTGTTGTGATGTCGACCTGTTTAAAAAACTCGATGATATAGCATTTTGAACCCCCGCGTTAACATTTCGGGCTGTTTCAACATAAGGTTCTATTTCCCTTATCACATTTGTGAGGCTGTGTAATGTGCTTCTTGTGTTGTTGGCCATAAAAGTAAAATCCGCCGATTGGCTTCGAAAAAATCGTATATTATACGGATTGGAGTTAGACATCGTTACTGTATTTTAAGACTTTAACCTTTATTCCCATTATTTTTTTTTAAATAAACGTCACTTAACTAGGTTAAATTTGATAACCCTTCTGTCGCGACACTTAACAAACACCTCGTATTATTAAGACCTTAAATTCAAATTATAATAAAATCTATACAATGTTCATATCATGCACTTCGGTATTTATTGTTTTGTATAAATATGCATTTAGTATTTAATTATTCTCCATAACACAAAACTTATGTCAAACATCAGAGTGACCAACATAGAAATTTTTAGTGTTTCCAGAATTTATTTTTAAATAGTAAATTACAGTGGCGGCTCGTGGTAAAAATTGTAGGGTATTCTGATCACTTCGTCATTAAAACTGTCTATTTCAGAGATAAACTTTTTTTACTTATAGATAACATGTAGAGCTGTTAAACGATCTTTGGTCATTGAATTTCTGAGAAACGTTTTGATTCGATTTAGTTAAAAAACATCGTTCTGCCTCTGATGTTGTCATGGGAATTGACCATATGCAAGGAATGCGGTCGATGTTGCCAATGGTAAAAAAATATAATTCCCTATTGGGAACATTCAATTATATTACGTTGGCTACACTGAAATTTTGAATTTCCCGCACAAACTGACATACATTCTAGAGATAAAGAAGGTAGTTCCAATGTTGTATAATAAATGAAGGTGCGAATTTCAAATGTGGGAATTATTATTATTTATTATTATTAAAAAAAAAGATGGAAATTAATTTAGTTTGTGCGGGAAATTCAAATTTTCAATGTAGCCAACGTAATATAATTGAATGTTCCCAATAGGGTATTTTATTTTTTTACCATTGGCAACATCGACCGCATTCCTTGCAGGAGCGGCTAGAAGTTTGAAGAAATACAGCTGCGTTGCCAAGTTGTGCACCCACTATTAGACCAATTACAAAACGCGGTAGTTTTAAATTGCAATCATATTTCAAATATTTACCAGTGTTGGATTTTATAAATTGGCATGAATTAATGTATTTTGTGTCATAGAATAATACAAAGGAAAATAAAAAATGACAAGTATGTATGAGGGCGATTCCATTATTAGTAACGGCATAAGCAAAAAGAAAATACTTTTTATTTTACGTTTTCTTTGAAACTAACATAGATTTTTCCAGACTTCTTTGTGCAAATTATTAATTAATTTTATTGCTTGCTGAAGATCATAAAATTATTATTATAGAAAAAACACATCTACAAAAATCGTCATTTTTTTTAGCCCTGTTAGTTATATTTCTATGGAAACATGTTTTGTCCTTATTAAAAAAGGCAAATGGAGAGTTTTGCATCTAGACGACTCATATGTAGATACCTACCCATATAATCTTTTTTTTTGCAATAACTTTGGAAGACAAATAATACCCACATAATTCTATTTATATATTTATTTCCAAAAAAACAATATAATAACAAGATAGAAGGATGAGCACTTTCAAAAGCGGTCATAAATGCTTTTAAATGCTCGAGCATTTGTGAGCACTTTGCAAAGGGCTCAAGCATATACCATCTATAATAACAAGTATAATATAATATAACAATAATATAGCATCATAATGTTTCAGGTACATTTAAGCAGAAATCAGACAAAACCAGACAAATAAGTCAAAAGCAAACGAATTCTTTTATTTTTTTATTTGTTTCTGCAAATCACTACAATGGATTTGTCTGGTTTTGTCTGATCGCTCCTCATTTAGAATCTCAAATCAGCCAAATGCTGATAATGAGATTATTTAGCAGGTACATGGTTGTAGTCTTAATTTAAATACTTTTTATCACATTTGTTAAATTACATAATACATATTGTAGTGGTGCTTCAGTTTCTTTTAAAGCTGTCAAAGTTACTTGCATTTTTAACATTTTCCAGTAAAGACGTAAGATAGTATGCTTGTATTGATAGTGCTGCATTTTCCATGGTTAAAGGTTGTTGTTAATGAATGTGTTCTGATACGTGTTTAACAACTTGTGCCTTACTATGCGGCCATTCCACGCGTAACGGATGGGAAAATTTTCAAGTTTTTATTTACAACATAATATTGTTCTATTATATTACCAATGTCAAATTTTTATAAATAGTTCTAAACAAAAGCTGTTTAACAAGGTTTTTATTTGGCAAAATTAGGTATTGTGGTTGACTGTTTAATTCCTTAATAATTAATAATTTAAAGCGTCAACCATGATACCTAATTTTGCCAAATAAAAACCTTGTTAAACAGCTTTTGTTTAGAACTATTTATAAAAATTTGACATTGGTAATATAATAGAACAATATTATGTTGTAAATAAAAACTTGAAAATTTTCCCATCCGTTACGCCTGGAATGGCTGTATGCTTTCCATTAACTAAGGTGTACTGTTTAGGTAAGTTTCTCTTTTAATCTGCTATGGTTGAATTTTGTTTATTGTAAAAAAAATAGCTAGCATGTATAATCATGATCACTTTGGGTATTTAATTGAGATGTTATTAAAGAGATTTCCGATTGTGTGGGTCTTTTAATGGTGTTTTTGCTTCCTTTTACTTTGTTCATAGTTGAAAAAAAAGTATTTTGTTTTTTTATTTTTTTATTTGCGGGTTCTAAAAATATATGTATATATAAATAAAACACATTATACATAATATGATAAATAGTTTTACTTACCCTGGCAATTTTTATTGTCTGTTATAATTCTTTTTTTAGAATCACCTTTTTGTATGCTTGTTAAAGCAATACAATTTTGCAAAAATTTCAAAATTTGGGGGCCAGTTTCGTTATTTTCATACACTGAATCAGGAATTTCTAACAGTTGTGTGCATGCTTTTTTTATTTCATGTGATACATTTTTCTTGTTTTCTGTCAGCCCATAGTTTGACAATGTTTTAAGATTTAAAACAGTTTCTTCCACACATGGGTTTATTCTGAATTCTGATTCATCTTCCATCTCTTTATTATCAACTTCAATATTCTGTACATTTAGTTTAATGAAATGAATGTGCTTACATATGGTTCCTCTTATGTAAAAGTCCGCACATGTGCATTCAAAATCGTGAATGCATATTTTGCAAAATGAGCAAGTTAACTTGCAGTTTTCATCTGAAGTTTTTTCATTTCTTGAAACCTGATATTTTCCATTTTCTGTTTGTACAATCCAAGTATGATTATTTTCATTAGTAATTTCCATCTTACTAGTTAATGCAACCCGGTGCCTTTTGTGAATGTCTTGAATATGACAATTATTCACTCCTTTTGTAATCTTTATCAAGCGGTTCACAATTTTGTCTCGAGTATATTTGAGAACGGCTGTTATGCCCTTATCCAGTCGTTTCACAGTTTTCCCATCCAAATAAAAGTACTTAATCGTTTTATGCATGCTCTCAAGTACCTAAAATCAAAATATTTATTAACAAATGTATTATATAGGGGAAACACATCAGTAATTAATATTAAATACTGTTTCCCTCCCAAAAAGTGAATTTAATAACAATAATACACATGCAAATATCTAATGTAACATGTTTATCTATATATCTACAAAAAGTATAAAAGATAAGTGGAATTATCTGTTATTTTTAAAAGTATGACTACCAAATATTAGTACTACAAAACAGTAAAAGCATTGAAGACTAATTACATGCCTGCTAAAGCAGTTTTCATTAAGAAGTTAATAAGCTTTTAAGCAATTGTAAATATTTATATTAACCAATCACCATATTTGTATTAATACCACAATTCTTTCGATAGCAGAAGGCCCACATATGGCAGTTATTTGAATATTTTTTTAAAAAATATTCAGCAAATTCTTTAGTATCAGGGTTATTGTGAAAAAGTTTTTTTACAGTGTCAAAATTCCTCTCAAATACTGGTAGTGTTAGAGCACTTTGCAAAACTTTGAGGGTTTGATAGACCTGTTTCCTGGTCTCAATTTTTGGAATTTTGGATAGGTTAGTCCTCCATGCCCTATCAATGTGCCAGGCACAGTACAATCTGTGTGGAATTTCACCCCCCATAGTGGCCTTCCATGCATTGTAATACACCTCTGTGATGTCACTCATAAATACATTTGGGGTTATTAAACCAGCTTTTTCTTTAATTTTTTGAAAGAAAATTTCAAAAACAAGGGTGTCTTTACGATTGGTGAACATGCATGCAACAGGAAATCCTTCACCAAACTCATCAATGACCATTAGAGTGGTTAGTTCAAAGTCGTACATATTCAAACCATGAGTGCTATCAATAGCAACTACAGCACTACCAAACCGTTGCAACATATTTGTTTGTGTAACATTCATAAAAATTATGCAGAAGTCATTAAGAGCAAGTTTTTCAAAATGCTCTCCTTGCTTTTTGTGCAAAAGAACAAAATCTTTTGATTGGTCAACCAAAAGTTCAACACTTACACTGTCATTTTCATGTCTTACTCCCTCCTGGATATTTATGTTAAATGCTGTTTTTATGTTATTGATGTCTTTCCTTGTGATTATATCACAATGAGACAACTTTTCCTCCTCAATAGAGTTCCTATAGGAATCTAAAATTCTAAAAAGAAAAAAAAATATATTGTAGGTAATTAATAATTTTGCCAATGTAATATATTACCTGACTACTGGAACCCCACTTGACAATCTGGCTGAAATATCAATTCTATCCTCTCTTGGTATTCTAATATGCTGAACTTCCAAGTCATGTCCATAGTGTGTTTTAAAATAGTCAACTCTATACTTGTCCATATTCATCTTTTTTAAAATTATCTGACTGGTACAATTGCTGTTGATTTTACAACTCCCTTGACTTTTTAAACATTTGACTGTGTTCTTATTATTGTCTTTAAAGAGTCCTGAAAAGTGATAAGCAAACTATAAACTTAATCCACATTAACTACAAAATATTAAAATATATGAATCAAATACCTGATCGGTTGCAGTTAAAATATGTCAGGTCATTTTTCTTCATACAGTTATATTGCACGTTGTTATTTTTACAAATAGTATTTTTCCAATCATAAAATTCTAAAAAATAAATAAGTATAGAAATATACTATTAGTAATAAAATGAGGCTTATATTTCCAAATCTCACTCTTTAACTAAAAAAAATTGAAAATTTCATAATTTTGGTCAGTCAGTTTGGGGCCGTCCATAAATTACGTAACACCATTTTTGCCAATTTTTGACCCCTCCTCCCCCCTGTGTAACACTCTGTCACACTTGGGCAAACCCCACCCCCTAAAATTACGTAACACTTTGGCTTTCCCCCCCTAAACTTAAAAAAAGGACAAAATTTTGTTAACATATATTTAGTTAATAACCAAAAAAAAACAAAAAATATACTCAGTCAACAGAATCTTAATCTTAAATCAAACAAAAACCAAAATCTTAAAAATCTATGCTTATTACAAACAGGTAGGTAACAAAATCTTACTATTAGGTTATTAAGAATCACTTAAGCAGTAGTATGGGTATTTTTCAGTCGTCAGAACTTTTCCATGGTGTTGAAATGGCATTTTCCATGGATATTACTTCTATAGAAGTATATATGCTTGCGTTTTCGTAGATATATTCGGCAACAGCCACATTTTCTAAAACATCTTCATCAATCCACTATAACTCCTGATCTGTTTTATCAAGTTGCACCAAAAATTCCTTTTGTTTTTTAGCTGCCACCCTTTCTGGTCTAATTCTTTTAATATTTGCCTCTCGCCCGCAGTCTTTTTGGTGGCTGAGTATATATTTTAGCGAAGCCCCATAAAGCCCACATTTCTTGCAGATTCGTTTCTGGAAAGCTTCTTTTACTGAAGGACACATGATATCATATGGGACTTCTTTAAAATTCTTAAAGAATAAGGGTGCATTTAACCTGTCCTTTAGAGAAAGAGTACCAAACAAATTCAAGAAGTGTCCTTGTTCTTTAATGGTTAACGCATCTTCATTATACCCTACTGATACTGGAGGAGGCAAGAATCTATTCGGGAAAAGCTCTTTAAATTGGCTTCTAAAAGCCGAACAACAGCTGCGATCATCGCATTTCACAATTTGTAAAAAGTACTGGCTACTTCTCACATTTTATTTTATAATTTAAATGAAGGCTCAAAAGTGTTACGTAACAAAGTCGTAAACCCCCCCTCCCCGCCTCGTAACACTTTGTCACACTTTGAGCAACCCCTCCCCCCCCCTTCGCGTGTTACGTAATTTATGGACGGCCCCTTTTGTAAATTTATGACTCAAATAATATACAAACCCCCTTCTGTTGAAAAATACAGCGTTTCATTTTCAATAATTTTGCTGTGACAACTCTGAAGGTGTTCTCTCAGATGTGCAGTGTATTTAAAAGAAGTTTGGCAGTTGTCTTCCAGGCATTTGCTAAGATATTTATGGAAATCATTATCTTTATGTAGGTTTTCCATGTGTTTATTAAGCTGTATCTTTCTTGCAAACACTTTAGAGCACGAATTGCAGACAAACGGCATTGTAACGTCCTGTCGTTAAAACCACTACACAACACAGATCAAAAAACTACACAAAAACAAAGTAAAATGTTACACAAAACAAAGCAAAATGCTAATTAGCATAATATAACAATTAACCAAACACACCGAAATCAACAGGTTACTCTAAACCACTTATTACTCAATGCTCTAAACCATATAAAACGCTAGACCATAGAAAAAGTAGATTAGGTTAGACCACAAAACTACCTTCTAGTTTTGTGGGTTAGACTAGCTATTTTAGGTTATGTTGAAATTTGAACATTGCGTACGATTTGGCAACGCAGCTGTATTTCTTCAAACTTCTAGCCGCTCCTATTCCTTGCATATGGTCAATTGTTACCACAATTTCTGGTAATTTTTTTGTCACCTTAATGTATCTCCTAAATTGTTTGTTATTAAAAATTCTGCAGCACTTCAGCGCTTATGCACCATGGTGGCTGCAGCCGCCACTAATCACAATTGTGATTGATCCGCGGATCACAATGGCCATTAGGCATTGTGATTGTGATCAAACCTTTATAATCTGTGATTGTGATATATTATACCTACCTCACAATCCACACAACAAGGTCTGTTCTATCTAAAAATACTAAAAATCATTGCAACACAGTGTTGCCAACACTGCACACAGTTTAACGGCGGCCATTTTTGTTGTTTACAATTGACCATATGCAAGGAATGCGGTCGATGTTGCCAATGGTAAAAAAATAAAAGTCCCTATTGGGAACATTCAATTATATTACGTTGGCTACATTGAAAATTTGAATTTCCCGCACAAACTAAAGTAATTTCTATCTTTTTTTTTAATAATAATAAATAATAATAATTCCCACATTTGAAATTCCCACCTTAACTTATTATACAACATTGGAACTACCTTCTTTATCTTTTTCTTTACTGGAATGTATGTCAGTTTGTGCGGGAAATTTAAAATTTCAGTGTAGCCAACGTAATATAATTGAATGTTCCCAATAGGGAATTTTATTTATTTACCATTGGCAACAGCGACCGCATTCCTTGCATATGGTCAATTCTTGTGTTTTGGGGTTATGCTGTTTTTACAGATTAATAATTGTTTTGAACGTCGTGTTTTTTACAGAGGAACTTGTAAGCCTCAAATGAGGCCTTAAAGTGACAAGGACAACCATTTTACTCCTCTTTTATAAAAAATAAACCTTATTCTATTAGGGCTGTCAAATGTCAATTTGAAGGTTAATTTGTGGGTTATAAATTAACCTTAAAATTGACATTTGACAGTTTGATGACAGCCCTAATTGAATAAGGTTTATTTTTTACTAAAGTGGAGTAAAATGGTTGTCCTTAGCACTTTAAGGTCTTATTTGAAGCTCACAAGTATCTCTGTAAGAAACACAACTTTTAAACCGATTATTAATCTGTATAAACAGTACAAACCCAAAGCACAGGAATTGTAAACAACAAAAATGGCCGCCGTTAACTCTGTGCAGTGTTGCAGTGATTTTTTGTATTTTTAGTACGAGATAGAACAGACCTTGTTGTGTGGATTGTGACCTACCTAATAATTATTAATGCATTCAGCAAAGGTATTATTAATCACCATAATTGCCATGGAGCCTACACAACGAGTCCGAACTCCGAACTTCATGTAAACAAGAATCTTCCTAAGATAAGAGGGCGCTCCTGTTCCGTTTGTTCTGAAACAATTGACTAATTTGTACCAAAACACTACCAAAAGAGCAGGCGTCAGTACGCATCCACAATCAGCGCCATCCTCTATGATCAGCGCCGATGGTGGTGAAAAAAAGACTTAATTTGTGCAATTTAAATTGCAGTGCAATCTAATTAGTCACTTTAAGTAACTTTACTATTTTAGTCCCTATAATAGTTCGCATCTATATAAAATAGGAGTTGCGAAATGAGTATATAATATTCGCATTCCGCAACTCCTATTTCATATGGATACGAATAATTCGTATTTCGCAATTTGCATTTTGCAATTTGCATTTAGCATGTATAAGAAACCGACTTTAAAAAGAAAACTGCAAGTGAAAAAAATAAATATTTAATTTTTTCTATAAAAATACATAAATATAACTTCACTCTGGTGTAAAATACATAAAATAATTATATTAAAATTAAAAATACTTTCTTCAGACTATAATAAATTAAAAATTACTTCCATGGAGGTTGTTTTCTTAATTTGGAGTCATAGTTTGCGATTCGTTTACCTTGGTTTTCTTGATCCTGAAATATTTGAAATAAAAAGTTATTTTACATTATAAAAAACTAATTTTAAGGGAATTACAAAATTTCTTAAAGGTACTCACATAATATCCCCTACATTAATTTTTTTATTAATTACTAAAATATTATAATAATAAATAAATGTTCTTTATTCCATACATTACATTATAGGCAACCATTGAAATGGTCCATTTAACAAAAAAATACCAATTAAATATTATATCTTCAAATGATTTCATGCCTATAATAATTATTAATTATTGAACCGATCTACTTTTTATTACTTAATTCCCATAAATCTAATTAGAAGACAAAAGAAAAAATAAATATATGTATAAGACATATTTTATTTGAATTCAGATAACAACACACCGAAAAACAATGTATGTAATAACAATAATTGTGTATGCCAACTACATTGACTTTTTAATTTTTACGCCGTGACTAGAAGTGCACCGGGAGTACGGGCATTAAACGTACATCAGATTTGTGCGCATGCGTGTTTCCACAGCTGATGGTAAAATATCGGATTTATTAGTTGAGATTAAATTGGTAGGTACACTAAGGCCCAGTTGTATAACAGTTGGTAAACAGCTGGTTAACACTTGATAATAATTATCTAATTATTAAGCTAACTTTCAAGTTGTATAAACATTTATTAAAATTTAATTAAGTGATTAAAATACAATTAAGAACAAAATTAATGAAATGTCAGTATGAATTACTCAAACCAAACCAAACTCAACAACCCAACCCAACCGACCCCGCCCCATTGGCCCCCCCACCCCATTGAGCGCGAAATTGAGCGACCATTTAATATTATACAATTGACAAAAAAATTTGCTAAATAAGGATTTTTTTCCACCCGGTGTACGTTTAATGCCCGTACTCCCGGTGTACTAGTCACGTTGTAATTTTTAAACTTTGCGTCACAAATTAATAAAATATTATAAAATTTTATGGGACAAAATAAGACGTATTTTTTAATGTGTTTTTAGAAGTATCATAATTTATGTAAATAAAATGTTTTCCGATTTTTAAAATAAATCCTGATTTTTTTAAATCAGGACCTATTTTATGCAGGGTGTTTCCGAACTCCATTTGAATAATTTACGGGAATATCGGTGATTCTACTGTAGATGTCGATGACATCGAAAATTATAAAAAAAAGTTTTCAAGAACATGGGGTCAAAAATGCTTTATGCGGAAAGTAAGACCCTTTATAGATGGCACTTAAGTTGAGTGACTCAACATATACATTAATTTTTTTTAACTCAGGTGTATTTTAAATTAGATTAATAAATTTCGGCTCACACACTACAGTTACAGTCGTAAGCAAATAAAAAGCGTACAGCCTTAGAAGGAGAGGTACTGCACTTGTCAAATATGGCGAGTTAGGTTATAAAAAATACAGTGCCGTTAGATGTAAAACAGCCGTCAGTTAACTGACGGCTGTACGCTTTTTATTTGCATACGACCGTAACAAATGCAAATTTTCTCTTTCAGACTCAATATTTACATATAATAATAGGGAGACCCCCCATTTTATTTTTTGAGTTACATTATTGAGTATTTTGGTTTCATTTTATGAGTTTTTATTTAATTTAACACCAAAAGACCCCTCTGTTTAAAAGGTTTAAAAAAGGAATTAGTCTGGGAAACAAAGATTCTAGAAGGAAAACTCGATGGTAGTCGGGTTTTATTTTTTATGTAGAGTCAGGGGTGCTGATAATGAATCAAGAATATTCCCCAAAAATTTTTTTCCGCGTCCCCTAATTTCATCCCCGGAAAGGGGTTTTTTGCTTTTTGGCTCATAACTCGCTAACGGTGCATTTTTTCAGAATTTGACCTCCAATACTTTTGATTATGTACTAAATAAGGGACACGTTATTATGGAGTGCCACAGGGTTTCACTTTGGGTCCGTATCTCTATTTATTGTATATCTTCAGTTATATCAATTTCGTAGCAAAACGATGATGAAACAGAACAACAAATTCAAGAAAACATGGATAAATTGTTAAAATGGACAAGTTATCACTAAAATGTCACATAATAAAGTTTAAAAATAAATCAAAACAAAAATCATAAAATTAGAATTAGAATTCAGAAAAATAAAAAAGGAGCACTATCGACAACAATTTAAACTGGAGAGACAAAACTATTCAACTGTTAAAAACTTTAAATAATCTAAGTAATTCAACACCAACAAAGGAGGATAACAAACACATTAAATATTGAATAATTAAGAGAAATTGAAAAAATAAAACTGATAAGAAACATTTTAGGAAATGATTGACGGTGCAAGACTATAATATTCTACAAAAAAATTAAAAACAAAAAATAACACAAAATTTGAAAAGCAATTGATTTTTTCTATTTTAAACAAAAGAGTGATTAATACTTTATTCCATTGTTTTTATATACAGGATGTTTCACATTCATGGTCCATTAGAAGTTTTTAGGGAATGAAAAAAAAGCGTTTAAAATGCATTTAAGTCTATTGTTCTAAAATATTTTGAACAAAATGTTCCAAAGAAACTTCTAATGGATCACAAATGTGAAACACCCTTTATATTTATTTATACTATTGTTACTATTTTTAAAGGGATATCTGTCAAAGTTGTTTAGATAATATTTTTAATAAAAAAAGCTTCCCATTTTCTTGTGTTTTTTTAAAATTTTTCAATTCAGAATAAACCGGTAAACTATTTGAATGGAGTCCGGAAATACCCTGTATACAAAAATTTACAATGTTTTTTATGGCAAAAGTTTTTAAACCTAAACTACATTATTTGGTAATAATTAATAATAATAATTAATTAATTTAACTTCTTGTCAAGAAGTTCTTGACTAATACAAACTAGCTGAATAAAAAGGCCAATCATGTTTAAATTAGCATGGAAAATATTTTAGCCACAAAATCCATTAAACTACTTTTGATAATGTTGCCTAAATTTAAATAAAATGTTTTTTATTATTTAAAATGAGTTTACATACGTACTGGGTGCTGCCAATCAGGTTTAGTTGGACTGCTTTTCTCTGTTGTTTTGCTTCCCTGAGTGTCTGGACCTTTACTAATTAACTAAAAACACAAAATATATTCATTAAGTTAATTAAGATGAAAATATTTTGGACACACCATTTGCACAATTTTTTGTAAATCATTTTCATTAAGTGGCGCTCGACTCGACACTGGAGTTTGCATCAGCACATTGTCCACATTTTCATATTTATCGACGCAATTTTCTTTCTTCGCGTTTTCGTATTTCTTCTCTTGCTGCGACTTGGCTTGATTTGCGTCACTGGCGCACTGTTCATCCTGAGACAGAACTTCTTCAAGATTATTGTATGATCTTGTTTTTAAGGAGTTCAGCTGTTCATAGTACGTAGGAGTGGGGCTTTTGCCACTTTTGATGATTTTTAAAGTCTCGTTCCACTGACTTTCCATTATTTTTTGCAGCTGCTGGGCCTGTTGCATCTTCTTCATTTTCATTTGCTCTATTTTTGCTTTCAGAGCTATCAACTCTTCCTTGTACTGCATCAGTTTAATTTGGAACAATTTGATTTCTTCTTGATGTTTTTCTTCCATTAGCTTTATCTCCAAAGAACATCTAAAAATTGATATAAATTATACTTTACTAACTACAAATATTTAAAAAAAATACTTTTCTGTGAGTGACTGCATATGAATAGCAGCGTTTTTGGCAACTTGTAGTTCCTTCTTCCGTATTTCTTCTTTAAATGTTTCTTCAGCTTTGTCCAATTGATTTTGAAACTCTTTGAGTTTTGTTTGCACCAGCATTTCCACTTGACCCTGGTAAAAGTTTCTCAGTTCTGACTTATTTGCTTCTAATAGTTCTTTTGTTTTGTTTACTTCTTCTTTTAATTGTTTCTAAAATTAAAAATTTATATTAACTTCTCTCTACAAAAAATATACTTCTCTTACTTCATTTTTACTCTTCTTCTCCAACTGCTCGATCAAAATTTTTTGTTGCTCATATATAGACGATTGTTGTTTCCTTTCATAAGCTAAAGCACGTTGCAAACTTTCACATTCTTCTCTCATTTTAGATATTTCATTTTGACAACTCTCGATTGTACCTTTGCACTCAGAAATTTCTTGCCTTGCTTGATGTAAAAGGTTTATGTTCTACAAGAAAAAAAATTTCTTAAAAATATAGTCAAGGTTTTTCTTGAATTTACCTCCAAGAGTTCTATTTCTTTAGAACCCAACAAATCATTTAACTGCATATTTTTATTAACCTCCTGACAATAATTGTCTTTCACTGTATGACATTGAGATTCAATTGAACTTAATTCATTGGTTAATTTTGTACACTTATTTTCAAGTAAAGTTATTTTTCCATTATTTCCTTGTGCAAAATTTATTGCTTTGGCAGCTTCTTTTTCATGATATATAACTGTCTATAAAATTTTAAGTTGTTTTAAATTGTTTTAAACAAAGTTTTAAAAGCTTTGATTATTTCAATTTTAAAAACATTAGGGTGTAAAAATACAATTAAGATTTAAGATTTTGCGTTTTGTTTGATCATTCCTTAATTGAATTCAATTAAGGAGTGGTCAAACAAAACGCAACAAATCTATTTTTCAAAGCGTAATAAATCCATATTTTTTACTAATAACAATACATAAGATACATAACAAAAAATAAATTAATTAAAATTTAATAGACATATCTCGCATTTTTGCGATTTATTTAAAATTAAGTTTGATTCACATTATCAGGTATCCAACGACACGACACAGACAATCTTAGCAGTGTCGTCCATTTAACATAAACTGTCCAGACCACAGCGTTTAAAAATTCTTCATCATGTATACGGAAATGCAAGTGAATCATGGACGCGTGGGAAAAATATATATAATACTAAAGTGACTTATGGGACAGCAAGGGTTAAGAAGCAATAAATAATATTTGATCAAATATTTAGGTATTAGTAACATACTTTTTTTAAATTCAATTAAGTAGTCTTTTTGAGTCCAGAAACTAAATAAAGTAAGCCACACATTTTTTGAGCATTTTAGACCCCTTAGAAATCTTATTAAAGATTTTTTATCAGTACTGTACCTACCTCACATGTTCTAGTATCTTCGCAAATTACAAGTAGGTCACTAACGAATTAACAGCAAGGTTATAACTTTTTAAGTTGATCCACACCTGTTTAGTTTATAAGAATGACTGCAGGTGATGATTTAATCCCAGCATTTTTAAGTAAGGATTGCTCTCATACCTTTGTAACTCCATGGAGTATTAAAGATATTTAATCTTATATGGAGGACTGCTAAATTTCCAATTATTTGAAAGTTAACTCGGGTGACACCTGTGTTTAAATCTGGTGAAACTGCGAACATTGCTAATTACAGACCAATAACAATATTGTCCAGTTTTGCGAAGGTCTTTGAGATCTGTTTATGTAGCTGCATCATATTTCTCTTCATTATGGTTTTATAAGCAATAGATCTACACTAACAAGTATTGATAATCGTGGGCAGGTGGATGTTGTGTACACGGATTTTTCGATGGCATTTGACACAAGTGTACAAAATATTTTGATTACAATGTTTTGTAACAAACTTGGTTCATTTGGACTTTCAGATTCGTTGATAAAATTAATAGCTTCATATTTAAATAATCGTAAATTATATGTTTAGAATAAAGGGTTTAAATCAAAATGTTTTGTAGCTTCCTTAGGAGTACCCCAGGGCATAGATTAATAACCCCAGGGGTCAAACTTTGGACCGCTATTATTTAATATCTTTATCAATGACCTAACAACTCAAAATTTACTTTTCAGTTTTATCACACTGTACTAGATGTTAACGAGTGCGAGCTTCTTCAGTCCGATAAGAACTTAATTCCGTTTTGGTGTGAAAAAAACTGCTTAGGCCTAAACATATATAAATGTAAAGTTTGCTCGTTTACTCTTATTTAAAATTTTGTGTCTAACCGAATTTGGTGATTTTTTTATTAAATTGTAGGTTTATTCTTCGGTAATAATACGTTTATTGAAATATTTTTTCAAATTTACATTTTGAGTATATACAGGGTGCACGAGTGATAATAAGTTTTTTCCCGGAAATTTGAAACGCCCTGTGGGTTGTACAAGCTTTTACAACATATAATATAAACATGCAACATATAATTAAACTGTAGCCCTATATTTTCTTAACATTTTGTTTTTTGATTCACGTCGCTACCTATTTTTTTAAATGAGATATACGGTTAAAGACTAAATAACTCCAGTTTAATGTAAAATGAAAGAACCTAACATAGGTAGGTCATGCATGGTAGGTCGTTTTCCATTAAGTTGTCTGCATAAAGTTTTTGTAATAGAGCGCCAAGTGAGAAATTTAAATCGTGATGAATGTGTAAGAATTATATAATTCTGACACATTCATCACGATTCAAATTTCTCACTTATATAACATTGGCCGAGTAAGGATTAAGCTATCGAGCCATAGCTCGGAGATTGAGAGTTAATCATACCTCAATATTCCGTGTTATTCGACGTTTTGAAGAAACCAACGATCATAACAGACGTAACGGGCAGGGAAGGCATCGAATGACAACAGCCGTACATGATCGTTTCCTTTATTTGCATGATTTGAAAGAACGATTTGTAACAGCAAGAAATCTACAGGTACTGCTACTCAATTTTCAAACAAGTGTGTCCACCGTAAGAAGACGTCTTGCGGAACAGAATTTGACCTTCAGAATTCCAGCAACAGGACCGAAGTTAAATGCAAATCATCGTAGAGCAAGACTGCAATTTGCCAGACAACATGTTGGCTGGAATATTGAGGATTGGCAGCGTGTACTATTTACAGACGCGTCCAGGTTTTGTTTATTCAGCTCTGATCGGCGAGTAAGGGTTCTCCGACGTACAAATGAGAGATTTTCACAGTGTAACATTCGTGAAACCACGCTATTAATTGGAGGTGTTGAAACTTTAGACTGGCCTGCAAATAGTCTGGATCTCAACCCCAGTGCATTTTTGAGATAATATGGGTAGACGACTAAGAAATCATGCCTGCCTCCCTTGATGACGTAGCAAATATGCTACGAGAAATATGGATTGTCATTGGTCAAGGCGAGATTAGACATCCCTTGCGGCCTTGAGTTTACGGAGAATTCACCGTGAATTCACCGTTTGCGTGAATTCACCGTGAATACACCGTTTATGTGCAGTGAATATACCGTCCATTTGTGACATTTGTAGACGGTAATTAAACGGTGAACTCACGCTGTTTTTGCGATAAATTCACGGTGATTTCACGGTAAATTCACGGTGAACTCAAGTTTGCAAAATCACCGCAAATTCACTGTGAAAGTACCGTAAATTTATCGTGAAATCACCGTGAATTCACCGTAAAAGCGCTGTGAGTTTACTGTGAAAACACCGTAAATTGACTGTGAAAACACCGCAAATTGTAAGTGTAAGATTCGAACAATCTGCTAATTGGTTATTCCCAATACAATACAAATATCGCAAGAGGGCTATCGTGTAGCTGCGCAAAATCAACGAGGTTGAGACGCCATCATAAAGAAAAAACAACAAGTTGGACGCCATTTATTAGCGGTTTTTTTAATTAGTCGATTTCTGTGTTAAGCGGTTTAAGCAATACATCTCACGGCTGCTTACGCAAGCGAGCTAACTATAAACAGCGTTGGGTTGCAATATTTAGTTGCAAGTGTGCGTCTGTAATGGCATAGCTGAACATTAATTGTTTGAAGTCCCCATCTCCATCCTCATCTGCTCAGTAACAAATAATGGCTAGCTATAGTCGATTGTGTTAAACCTATAGGATATACCTACCCTTGCGGCATTGAGTTCACCGTGAATTCACTGTGAATTCACCGTGAATATACCGCCAAAATACGGTGGATTCACAATTAAAATACTGGATTAACAGGAAAAAACTTATTGCACCCTGTATATACTCAAAACGTAAATTTGAAACAATATTTTAATAAAGGCGTCATAACCAAAGAATAAACCTACAATTTAAAACAAAAACTACCAAATTCGGTTAGACGAATCGCGAGAAAATGAACTATAAAATTGTGGAAATTTTGGTGCGTTAAATTTGACGCGAAGTGTATATTTTCGAATCGTATCAACTTAGTAAATTTTACTAACATATTGTTTTTTCTGCAAAATATTTTATATACTTATCGAATGAAAAAATTATAGAACATATGGCGCCTCATAGTTTTAAACCTTAATTTTACCATTATAATAATAAATTAATAATTATATTACTTATATTGTTACTTTTTACTTTATATGTTTTTGTTGTTCTTTAATTTTTATTAAAAGTAATATTTTTACAACATTGGCACATCTAAATTTGCTGTTAGTGACAGTTGAGCCAAATTCGTGCGATTTTCATTAAATATTAAATCCCCTCAAGATTCCCAGATTTCAAATCTTGTGAATTCGCAGATTGAAAGATTTTTCCACCAAATCAAACGGACCAATGAGAACGTTATTCGCAATTCGTAATTCGGTTTTCGCATCTATATAAAACGGACTTTAACCCGCGGGTTGGGTTTTTAAACACCCTAGTACACATATTTCCTGCAAACCCTGTAAAGTGATTTAACTTTATATAATTAGATTACCTACCTGTCTGGCTTCCTCAATTTTAGCTTCACTCTGCAGTTTAATAGCTTGCATTTCCTTTTCTAATTCCACTTTATCTTTCATTGAATTATCTAGTTTGATAGATACTTGATTCAAAATTTCCTTTAATTGCGACAAGGCATTATCTTTGGCTTGATCTACTTTTAAGGCAACCGTCATTTTTTGTTGTAATTCCAAATTGCGTTGATGTAATTCAGTAATTAACATTTCACAATGCTACAAAACACATTTTTTTAATATACCTATATAAAATTGATAAAAAATTATTTTTATCTGTAATTTGGCAAAGTATATTATTATATAATTAGAACAAAATTAGTAAAATTTAACAGATTTTGAAATTATAATTAAATATGGATATTTTCTTGAGAAATTACCTGTCTGCGTAAATTTTCTTCATGTAGCTTATTTTTTATTGTAGAATTATTTTCTGCTCTATTGGGATTCCATATATCAGCTAAACTGATGAGTTCAAGGTGATTATTTGGTTGATACTTGTTTTGCATTATTTTATTATTTTCTTTTGATTTGTTTATAGTTTCTTCCATTGAATCCTCCAATTGCTTGTGCATATTCAAAATATTCATGGCATTGGAATGTAGGGGATTATTTAATAAATCATTATTCCCTTTGCAATTATAAAAAGCAGTTGCTTGTGTTGACTCTGAACTTGAACTAGTATCAGGAGTTTTGATTTTAAGTTCTTTTTTATTTGTATTTTCAGATAAATATGGCACAAATATTGACTTTTTGTTTAATTCCATCTCAGGATTTTTGTTTTTTGAGACTAGAATATAATCAGGTACTGTAGATTCATTGTCTCCACATCTCCATGTTGCCTGTTTTGTATTTGCTATCTCTTTTGCCATTATTTCCTCCTCTTTAGATTTTATACGACATTCAATATGTTTCTTTTGTATATCAATTTCCTTTAACATTTCTTCCACCTCGTCCATCTGCATGTTACCATTTAATTTATTATCATTTCTTTCACTGAACTCCTTCTCCAAATTTCTTGCAGCATTATAATGTTGAATTGTTTTAACTTTTGTTAAAAACTGATCAATTTCTGAAAGCATTTCTCCGCCACCTTCATTAAAATCATTTGTATAATGTGTTCGTTTTCTGGGTGATTTTCGATTTGAAAATGCTTTTTTTGGACTAAAGCTGTTTAAATTTGGACTGGCAGGTAATGAATTTAATCTGAATTTTGATGGACTTTTCATTGGTGTACTTTGTGTGCTGTGTGAGTAATATAAATCATCTGTACTGTTATACTTACGAAAATCTGCCATTCTGTAAGAGTTTTCTTTCGAAGTTAGGTCTAATGAACTTCCAATTAGACTTATATCAGAATTATTTTCAATTGTGTGCACACGATCTTGTAAATTTATAACTTTGGTTACAAGATTATCAATTATACCATAAAATGGGCTAAGGTTGTGGTTTACTGGGTCTGTATCAATGGTGAAGAAATCTGGGGGTATTAAAAGTAAATCATCGGTATCATCTGTTTCGCTCATAACTTACAACCAATGTGTAATTTAGTGTTAAGAATAAATTCCACCACATAACCTACTCAAATAGGTTTAAAAAGTTTGCTTAACAACAAGATACCTTTTTCAGAAATTTAGCAAAAAGATTATTCTTTTAATTAGATTTAAATTCCATTAATATTGTCAACAAACTTGGTCATATTTAACAAACAATCTAATAAATTGTCACTTGTCAAGCTTAATCGGTTTTTGTTGCACAAAATAAAAAGTAAACTTTATTTAAACTTCAAAACCCAATAGACATTTTAAAAACGTTGTTTGTTTACAACTTGTAATGTTGTTTACAACGAATTAGTTATTTTTTGTGTTTAAGTTGGCAATTAAATCACATAGCACATAAACTCAAAGGATACTTGTACCTTACAGCCACCAAACTAATTTTTATGTTTTTTTTAGTTTTATATAAATGTAAAATTAAAAAAAAATAAAATACCTATGCTGCGTTTGAAATAAAAAATATTATAATATCTAAACATAGGCAACCCAGATAACTGTATTTGCCAATTGGCGTTTGAAAACTACGCGAAAGTAATAAGTGTGCACTATGGGTGCTACCTTTTATACCTACTCTTTGAATAAAAAACCTCAGGAAGGACCCTGCCGAATCTCGTTAATGTAATAAATTTACGACGAAAGTAGCCATCCATTTGGATTGTGGATATAGCCAGAGACAGGGGCGGCTAGTGTATAAGGGCTGCAGAGCTGCAGAACTCCCAAAATTTTCTTATTACTTGACTATTTTTTTAATTATTTAATATTTAAGTGCGACAGTGTACCTATAAATATTTCAAACGCAAGGCTGCATAAAAAGTTTTTATTATAAACATTTGCCGTGTCGCCGTACTTGGCCACTACAGTCATCCAAACGACCGGTAAAGGTCTCTAACGCTTAACGCTTACAATACAACAAAGCTGGGCCACTTTCGAGTTCTGGTTCCCATTTCAATACCGTAATTTTGCCCCGCGCCGCTCTTGGCCCTGGGTTAAGATAGCGAAATTTTAGCAAAATCGGAGCTGCACCAACATACATGTATGTTGGTGCAGTTCCTACTTGTTTTTCGCTTCGCGTTCACGTTTGTTATTTTAACTAGAAGACTGTTAATTCTGTGTATTTTTGTGTTTTGTGTTTGTTGTTGTATTCTTTTGTAAGAATGAATGTGGTGTATGATTTAATTATGATTTAATTAATTATCTGTAGGTACCATTTAATTAAATGCCAACTGCGCCACATTTTTTTAAACCCCACTGGCAGAACTCACAAATTTTACTGCCACGAGCCGCCACTGGCCAGAGATATCTATAGGAATAGGCCTAAAAAACTAAAATATAAGATTATACCATTGACTAAAGACTACTTTACTCAATGATTATACATTGTGGTACTTAAGTAGGAACCATATGCAAAACTGTTTTGTTATTAATTTAAAAAAAATATATAGTTAATAACTAGTTCTGCATGGACTAAATCCTAAAATAAAAGATATTAATTTCTTGCAGTCGAGGTTCGTTAAAATATATAAATTTTTCTCAGGGGTAAAATATCTTTATTTTTGATAAAATCAGAAAGTGATTACAAAAAAATTAATCATGATTCTGCAGAATTAAAGTATACTTATATACCTATAGGTAGTGTTGTAAGTTATAACTTGTAACGTATCTAGATACAAGTAACTAGTTACATTATCTAGACACTGCGTAATACGCAGTGCGTATGTAACTATAGTTATTTATCCCAATCTAGTACTATAACTGCAACTATAAATTAGTTAGTGGGGGTTTGGCGAACCGACCCATAGACAACCCAGATAACAGTAAAAGGAAACAAAGTCTACCTTTAAATTCATATAATAGTTATTTTATGTATAGACAAAAGAGGGTTACCTACATCCTGCCTACATCAGAGACCTACATTCTCTCAGAGAATTTCTCTGTGCATTTGGTGAAAATATTTCGTTGAGATGGCAAATGCTGTGACTAAAGTTGTTAATAATTGCAAAGAAGCCAAAGAAACCAATACTCTAAGTAAATATATTTAACGTGTGTTTATTAAATAATTAATTTACCTCATAATATTAATATTTGCTTATATTATAGTTCTTGCCCCAAACTTTTAATTTACAGAAGTCCTAACAATGCACATACAGGGTGATTTATGACTCAAGAAATAAGATTTTATTGAAAGACGACTAAAATACAGGGTGTCCCAAAAGTCGCGTACTATCTTGAAGGTGTATGATCTACAGACCCCAGGTATTGCAGAACATTGTTAAAAGAATCTACCTTCATTATCATTATATTTATATATAGTGTGTCCGTTTTTCAAGGTGCCTGTTTTTCAAGCATGTGTATCTTGAAATTAACTTTTATTAAATAAAATTACAAATTCTTGTTTTTTACAATATTTCATATACTAAAAATTATACATCAAATTTCTTTTTAGTCCATTGATCAACATGAAAATTGGAGATACCCATATAGGTACCCACTTGAAAAAAGGACACCCTGTATATTTTCCTTAAATGGCTACTAATAAAGGGGTAGTTTAATTCTTAATCATAATAACAACAATATTATAAACGTGTTTTTCTAGTCCTGTTCTGTATTATTAACATTATTTCGGGTTTTCTGCCTAACAGAAATAATGAACTTATTATTCACGTTGCTAGGCATCAGTGATTGGCTGATTTCCAATTAGTTTTAAAATTGGAAAAAAGTGAGGTTGGAACAGATGTCAAATTTATCGATATATATACAGGGTGTCCCAAAAGTCAACGATATCCTTTGAAAGACTAATAGGTCAGCTCATGACTAATCAGAATATCAAAACATGACCTTAGTAAAAAATCATTAGTTTTTAAGATATTGGCACTTTTATGAATTTTGTGAAACTTGACACATAAAATCAGTTTTTCGAGTGCCACAACTACAACATTCTATATTCTTAGATTATATTTTATTTTGCGTAACCCTGAATAGGACTGCTATAAATTACAACTCAAAATTAAATTAATAGAAGATTTTATAGCTGTGGCACTCAAAAAACTGATCTAAGGTGTCAAGTTTTACAAAATTCAAAAAAATGACTATATCTCAAAAACTAACGATTTTTTACCAAGGTCCTATTTTGATTTTCTGCTTAGTCATGAGTTGGTCTATCAGTCAACCAAAGGATATCGTTGACTTTTGGAACATATATACATACACAGCAAACGAAAAATTATAGAAGTGTATAGGATGACTCCGCGTTTGAATATCAAATCTTAAAGTTTTATCATAACTGTATTGAATCGTGCTTTGTTTTTATATTTTTCGGCTCTATACCTATGCACGACTATATTTAAAGTCAAACTCAATGGTGTCTTACAAGATACATTATTTTGATTTTCTATATTCAACAGAGGAGTAGAAACTCGACCCTGTCGAATGGTGCAGTCATATATGTCTCTAGAAATTATTAAAAAAGGGTTCAGTCCAATGGTGCAGCAACTTCGGATTCCTATTCTCCTCAGAGACATAGAAACTCAAGCTTTTCGAATTTTACTGGCAATGATTTTCGTTAATGTCCCCGAGAATTATACAAAAACAGCGCAATGCAATATCGCAACGGTTTCGACTTCTCTTTACTCTACCAAGTTATAGAAACTGGAGTCTCTCTAATACTGTTCTAGTCAATATTTCTGAGAGTATAAAAAGAGGGTGTAATATTGCAAGAAGTTTTGATCTTTTGATGGATGAATTTTCTCATTTCTCCATATGATTTTGTTGAAAATAGCTCCTTTCTTTGGTTCCTTTGTCTGATTTTTATTTACCGTAACAACTCAGGTATGTAAAGCACAGAGGATATGATGTTAAGTATATTTATGTATTATATAAAGTACCTATATTTGTATTAAAAATTTAAGAGGTTATGTTGAAAAATGATCGATATGCTATTAAACTTTAATAATTTAGTAATTAGGTCTGTTGGTAGACCCTGCACTATCTCCACTCACAATCATGTCGTATATAGTTTTTTTAAGCATAAAATAATTTTTATATTAATACTAGTTCAAAAGTGAAATTACGACCTCTATACTGTGGAGAGTATTGAAACGCTCGACTGACGAATACAACTCTATACCGTAGGGAGATTTAGAAATCGATATTCAAACGTGGCGTCATCCTATACACCTCTATAATTTTCCGTTTGCTGTGTATATACGTATATAAAGGGTGTCCCAAAAGTCAACGATATCCTTTGGATGACTGATAGACCACATATGTGGGGTGACTATAATGATCATTAAAAGTGAGGTTATAATAAATTTTGTTATTAATGACAAAACCTCATCTTGTAAACAATTCACACAACAAGGTTATTAATCTATGGTCTATCTCGTTTCGCGCATACTAAAAATCACTGCAACACTGCACACTCGAAAGGTGTCCATTTTTATGTTGTTTACAATTATTGTGCTTTGGGTTTGTGCTGTTTATACAGATTAATAATCGTGTTAAACGTTGTGTTTCTTACAGAGGCACTTGTAAGCCTTAAGCCATTAAGTGCTAAGGGCAACCATTTTACTCTTTTGTAAAAAATAAACCTTATTCTATCAGGGCTGTCATGAGTTCGATTTTATCCTTCATGTGCTAGCACAGCTGTGCATCGCTCCATGAAAAAGTCTGGAAATAGTTGACTTTGACACAGTAAGGATAAAATGGGGTTCCCGGCGAGGTATTTTGTGATTTGTGCAATCAATTTAGTGGATGTTCAAGATTTGGAATTCCACATGTCCGTGAGCAGCTCATGGACGTAAAACATTATTATAGCTGAGTAATTTTATTTTCTTATTATTTTTTGTGTTAGTGAGATATGTATTGATACATGACTTTTTAATAGTCCCGCCCGTTACGCTTTAAATTATTAATTTTTAAGGAATTAAACAGTCAATCACGATACCTAATTTTGCCAAATAAAAACCTTGGCAACTGTCCTATCCGTTAAGCGTGGAATGGCCCATAACTAACACAAAAAAAAATTACTAATTAATAATCAGTTTTTTGTTTTTCTTGAAAAGCATGTTGGTTTTTACTTTGTTTTCATTCCGGGATCTTCTATTAAACTTTCCCGCGTTTCCCAAAATTGTGTCCAGTGTCCCTAAAACTTTTTAACATTTTTTTAAGGTATAACTAAGTACACTACTACCACTAAGCAATACAAAAATCGACTAATAAAAAAACGCCATTAAATTTGGAAATTATCCATGGGTAGCTATATCCAATCGAAACCACTAAAAATAATCCTAATTGGACTTTTCCATCATGGAAAATACCAGTAAAAACCAACTTCTGTTTTATATCGCGCCCAATTAAATCCAGTAAGTCCAATTCAGACCTATTGATACCAACCAAAATTTCAATTGGTTTCTATAAGGAATAATTCGGTCATTTGAATGAACACCTTTATTGAACCAAGAGAATTACAGGAAATCTTTTTTTTTCAATTTAGTTAACAAATAAAAAAAAATATATAAAAAATTAAAAAAAAAATACAACAGGAATGTACATTATGCCTAAACTTTATATTAAAACTTGAAAGGAAATAAATAAGGCTATAATTTAAAAAAAACCCAATGTTTACGCCCCCATGCTTTTTAAATAATGAAGGTAGAATTTTTTTAACAACTCTGGGGATCCTGCTACAGTTTTTTTCTTATTGTCTTACATTGCGTCATCAATTTGAGAACCAAGCACAGACATTACAATTTACTATTTTCTTTGAATACGTATGTGAGATGTATGCCGGACGTATGTCGAAAAACATTTTAAATTGATGACGCAATGTAAAACATAAAAAATAGACTATATATAGTCTATGATTTATAGATCATCCACCTTTATATTATATTCTACATATTTTTTATAATATTGGCAAAAAATAAAAATTATTAATTAATAAAAAATTGTTATTGTGTACTGGGCTCCACAAACCTGGCCTTTTGATCTGTGAGGCTCAATTTAAAATTTTAATGCAGAACGTATGGCACGCAGTTTTAGCATTTATTAGATATAGATATTAGATAGATATATTTGAAGAATAAAGTTTAGCAAAAAATATTAATTTTTAAAAATATTAGTACAAATATTTTATTCCACAAAATTATCGGTTTAAATTTGTAGTCATTTTTTAAATGATAGTCGATAAATTTTTAATACAAAAATTCTCACATTACATTTAAATGTAAGTTTTAAATTTTAAAGTGGTAATTTTTGGATTAAAAATTTATCGACCATCATTTAAATGACTCTTACAAATTTAAACCATTTTTTACAATTTTAAATTGATACATTTTAACACACAATTTATAACTTTGCATTTAAATGTAAGTCGATAACTTTTAATTTACAAATTGTAAACATAGCTTTAGCAGACGGCGTACGCTGTCTCTTTCTAGAGTGGTCAATTTTAAGGGTATTCCATACAAAGATATCTTTGTATGGATTATATAATCTTTGATTCCATAGTCGGTAAAACGTACAAAGCGCGAAGTCTGCAGCATATGCAGTCAGCTAAAGCTGCGTTTACACTTTGTGAATTAAAAATTATCGACTTACATTTAAATGTAATGTGAATTTAAATTGATACATTTTTAACACAAACATATTAATATGTTATGTATCAATTTAAATTTGTTAAAATAAAAGGTATTGGCATTGAGTAAATGTAAATGGTATTGGTTTAAATTTGTAAAGAGTCATTTAAATGATAGTCGATAAATTTTTAATTAAAAAATTACTACTTTAAAATTTAAAACATTTAAATGTAATGTTAGAATTTTTGTATTAAACATTTATCGACTATCATTTAAATGACTCTTTACAAATTTAAACAAATAATTTTGTAGAATATAATAATAAAAATATAATTTTTAAAAACCAATATTTTAAACTTAAACTTTTACATTTGCATTTTATATTAAACATATTTTTTTATTATCAATTGTTTTGAGTTTAAAACAATTTAACTTTTAAAACTATTTCGGTAGAAAATATTTTATATGTGTCTTTAATAAAGACTCTTTTTTAAACTATTTTTAAATACTAAAAAATGTAACTTTACCACTTTAATCTAAATAATTTATTAAATATTTATATAAGATTCACAAAATTTTGCCCAAGCAAATTTTACTAAAGAAATTATTTTTACTAAAAAAATAATAGACATTTTTGCAAAAATTGATTGGAAATAATATTGTTTAATACAGAATTTTTAGTTAGAAAAAATTTAAAGCAATAAAATTTTAAATTAAAAAATTATTTAATAAATGGTAAAACGGCGTGCCATAAGAAGCCTTATAATGTTATGTATAAGTTAACGAGATAAACTATAAATAAACATAATATTTTAACGTTTACATGTTATGTTTTTATGTCCTAAATTGAAAGCTTTATATAATGAGCTTAACAGATATACTCGTATATAGCCTTATAACCTTATAGAGCTGCGTTCCTCAAATGTCAAAATGGGCCTTTTGGGTGTGGAGCATAGTACTCAAGGATTTTAAAATCCTTGCATAGTACCTACATGAAATACAATTTTCATCCTGAAAAAAATATGGTATTTTATGGACATTACAAATTAGCATAAATAAGCAAGGTTTACCACCTTCTCTTATATTTTTTAAGGTAGTATCCCTAGACCAAGGGTAGTATCTCCATTTAAAGAGTTTTTTAAATAAATAACAGTAGGCTGTAACATCAAATTTAGCGGTGCCAATGTAGTAAAAATAAACCCTTGAATTTTAATTAACAAATTAATACTTTATTACAAATTAAAGTATCATAAAAAACTAAAAACAACATATAATATAAATAATTCATTTGTTGTTATAATTTCTTAAGTTGGCAGCACAAAATTTGAAATGACAATTATAAAAAGTGAAAAGTTTAAATAAAAGTCTTTAGGTAGCCTTTTTATAAGTTTTTAAGTTGATCTACACCTGTGTTACAAGTGGAAAATTACACTTGTAACAATGTTTTTTTCCCAAAGATTTGCCATAGATTATTTCAAAAATTTGTTTCCAAACTCAAAAATATGATCATGTTAATACCTAGCTTAAAAATTAAATATTTGGTTTATTTTTTATGGAAAACTCTTGTGCGGCTCATAAGATACAATACAAAAATGGCATATGAAAACAAACTTAAAAAAATTATTCTCTTGGAATCTGTGCTGTAAAAAAATCTGAAATTCTTTGTAAATATGTCTGATGCATTACAAAATCAAATATTAGATTTTAAGGACTTTCTATAAAAACTTTTTAAATGAAGATATGTAAGTACATTAAATTAAAATTGTATTTAAATTTTAAACATTAATTAGTTTAATATTTCTTGAGTTGACCACCCTTGCTATAGACAATAGTTATTAATTTTATAGACCTAACTAAGCTTTTTGCAATCCTTTAAAAAAGTCAAAAATAAAATCAACTATTTTTTTCAGACCTATCAAATTGTACATTAAAACAAGTTCCAGATGCAGTTTACCATTTATTAAGAAATGTAGAAATAAAAACATGCGATTTTTCTGAAAACGTTTTATCAAAAATTACACCAAAATTTGTGCTAAATTTTAGTTCCTTAATGACTTTAAACTTATCTTATAATCAGTTGTCTAGTTTACCAGAGGAATGTATAGATTTTAAATTTTTGGAAACGCTTAATATTTCTCATAATTCCTTCATTTCATTGCCGAATTGTGTACATAAAATACCAAAACTGATTCAACTTGACGCTAGCAATAATCATATTGTTGGTAAGTTTTCACATTATGTATGTAAAATATCTTCTTTCTAATTTTTTTTTCTTAGATGTAGATATAAAAGCCCTTAAGGAAGCTTCGAGTTTAGAAGCAGTTGATTTAACTAAAAACTCAATTTCCCATAAAAATTATGAAGAACTTAGAGAACTTACGAATGTAAAAGTACTTCTAACTCCAAGGCAAAAAGAAGATTGGGAAGATCTTACCATTTAACACATCCTGCCTGTATTTTTTATTAGGTACCTCTATATTTTTTTGTATTGTATTATTTGCAGTAGGCATAGTGAATGTTTTTTACAGTTAAAACTAATTTATTTAATGGTTCAATTTTATATGTTAATTGTAATAAATTTTATTAAAGCAAATAAGTAATTAGGTTTATGTGGTTGCTTTATTTTTACATTATTTTTTATTTAATTAAAATTTATTTTAATATTCCGTCCACACACAAAATATAAAAAAATACATTTATATTTTTATAATTTAAATTATTCTTAGATTTTTTTACTTTTTTTTATTTAAACTTAATTTATTATGTAATATGCAATTTGGTCTTTTATAAAAATGCCAGTAACGCACCGCACCTTAAAGCGAAAGGCCGCGTGGGTATACCCTTATTAGGTCTCGCTTAACGCGCTCTTCCATAGTGCCATCATCTCTAAAGTTGTTCAAAAAACAAAAAATCAATAACGATTCTAGTGCAAATTGCGTGTGGTAACTCCTCCTGGATTAAGTGCCCAAGTGTTTTACCTGTTGATAAATGTGAATAATTTCCTGGACTACCACACGTGCTAAAGTGGGCGGTCGGGGTTAAGGAACAATTTCATCACACCTGCCTGACAATTCACCCGAAGTCCAAGTCTGCATAAATCAGATAAGTAAAATTTACCAAAATTGCATGACCATATGAGGAGCATCCGTGCAAAACCGGCTAAATCCATTTTATTCAGTTTTTGATTTCGCATCTTTGGGTTCATTTCTATCGACAACCAAGATAATTCTGTTCAAATCTAACTATATATCCATGTTAAAATCACATTTAAAAGGTAGCTTTAGGAGCAAAACCGGCCAAATCCACGTTTTATAGCAAACCCGGCTATATCCAATAAATAATAATGATGATGAGCATGTGGCTTGGATATGTCGATACTACTACTAAAATTTGTTCATGTTTGCACTAAATTTATTTTGTTAATATTTTTGAATAATAATGTTTTTTTTTTCACTTTTTATTCGGTTTTTGAGCAAAACCGGCTATATACAAAACATTTTTTGAAATTTTAGCCTTAATATAAAGTTTTTGAAAACGAAACTATGTCTTATAAATCAAGTACTACTACAAAGCCCACAAAACTCAAGTTTGCTTTTTCTTTTATCTGTAAAGGCCAGGAAACCGAGAGTTTTTTCCATTTCCCAACATTTTATTAAAGTGGATATAGCCGTTTTTGCACGGATGCTCCCCATATAATACCCAAATAATAATGATACCAAATTTTAATACGAAATCCGCAATCTTTAACTAACAAAGGATCCACCAGGTAAAATTAATTAGTCGCAAACAGTTCCCTTTTAAAAATCAAGCATAGTCAAAAAACTATAATGGCACAATAAGAAGCCATTATCACTCAAGTTCTGATAAACACTAGGCAAAAGAAACTCATCCTACAAAAATAAACATCTGTAGAGTACTAAGAAATTAAGGGGACCATAAATTTGGTAACCAACCGAAGTGGCTGACTCCTCAAACGTTCTAAGCGAAAATAAACAACCGCAACCGCACAGTGGGGTGCAGACATAGAAATGCTAAGAAATACTAATAATAGAATGGTTTATATGGGTGCAACGATATCGATAATCAACAAGCTGGGAATATGACCCGGACAGAGAGAACACAGACGAATAGGAAGTACTTTAAAACCGGCAAGGATAGATACTAGCAGCATATTAACCAATCATGTCCCCATTCATTAACCGCAAATAAATGGGGTTATTACTAAATCCCTGGTTGAGGGGGACTCCGGATTGTACTTAGTTTTGGGTCAGTTTATGTCCCACAAAAACCAAAATGTTTTCCCTTCTCATCCCGCACTCCACTAGCCGAAAAAACAAAAACAGCAGGTATAATAATTATTAAAGTACCATCCTACGAGATGGAATAAAATAAAACGTAAAGGCAAAATTACATTTTTATAAGTACACGCAAAGAAATAATGAAAAATGCACCACAATAATTTTTATTAAATTGTTTTATTAAAAATGCGATTTTTATAAATAAATATCACTATAGACAACGAAAAACACGACAGAAACTGGGGACCCAAACAAAGACAAGCCTAACCAACTCCACCGTTACGAATACAATACAGACATGGAACGTAAAACAGAGGCGTATTTAAATGACCACAAATAAACTGGGTTTTGCGTAGGACGGGAATCAAAACAACACCATCGGACGTATTTAACGTCGCGTCGTAATCGAAATACATCACGAATAGGGGGGAACAGACACATACGAATAGGAAGTGCACCAACAAGGATAGGTCCTATCAGCGTACTAACCCACCTACCCCCATTCATAAACCCCAATTGAATGAGGTTATTACTAAAGCCTGGTTGAGAAGGATTCCGTATTGAACTTAGTTTTGGGTCAGTTCAATGTCCGCCAAAAACCAACATGTTTTCCCTCCTTGTCCCGCTTTCCACTAGCCTAAATTGGGCTTATGGTCGGCCCGGCGACAACATTTCGGGAATGGCCTAGACCTAGGCCTAACCATCTCTAGCTTAACCATCGTCATTATCATCCACGACCTCCTAGAGAAGATCTACCAGCCGGCGTAAAAACAACAAACACAGGTAATTCTATGCAGTTGCGAGATACGTATAAAAACGGAAAGGGGGTGAAATTAACCTGGGAAATCAGTGTAAGGCGATGGGGCCTGCCTTAAGTCTCCATACACATACTCAATGGGCTTTTATAAAAATGACAGATATAAATAATGAATGTATACAATGTATATAATGGTCAATTTTTTTCTTTTTTTATAGGTGTCAATGAGCCATGAGATGTCAAAAATTACAGAATCCAAGTTATTAAAGTGATTTATTATTTAATATTAATTTATTATTATTATTATTTGACCTTTTAAATAAATATTAGAAATATTACCCAACACCAAAATAAAACACAAAGTGCCTAATAGTATATTATGTATCAAGTTTTATAAACGCCATTTTAGACACGGATTTAATTAGGGCACGAGCGAGCTTGCGAGCGAGTGCTTAAAATAATGAGTGCATATAAAACAATAGGAGAATCTGTGTTACCGTCAAATTTTAAATTTTTATCTGTTATAAAGATTATAAATCGAAATGTATTTCTTGAAAATCGATTAACAACAGTTTTTCACAGTGAAAGTAAAGAAATGTTTTATGAGCACTTTACGGTGGAGTCCGAGCTCGAATTTAAGTTATATATATCCAGTTTACTTCCGGTCAGTACAATGTTCATATAAACTTTTCAAATATTAGCGTTGAGAAACTATTTAATGCTTTTGTATTTTTGTATTGCGATAATAAAATAATTTTTACATTTAGTATTATTCTACAAGAAGGACACTTTATTTTAACAATTGTATGAAATTTGACAACTGTCAAACTACGAAACCTGATTTAGATCACATATTTCCAGTGTGATTCAGATCACATATTTTGTGGAAGTATGTGATTCAGATGAATCGTGACAAAAAAAATCACTGATGATAACAAGATTAACAAGAAATAACTCAAATGCAAAGTATCTTAATATTTTAAAGACTCGCGTACCGTATGATTATAATCTTCCTTTAAGGCCTTAAATCACTATTTTGCGTATAAAAGTATAAATAATTTCGTACATCGTACATATAAAATAGTTCGTACGGTTAGTTTAATTTAATATAATCTAGGAAGAATAGGTAGGTACCTATTGTTATTACGCACGTGTCAGTCAAGTTCGTGCGGAATTGACATTACCATTGTCATAGATCTGTACGAGGCTTTAATACATTTTGTTGGCGAAACAAGAGAGAATTTCGATGATTTCGAAAAAAAAGCGAAAAAACTGTCCTTCGTACAGGAATATGAAAAAGATTTTGGAATCGAAAGCGTAAGCTGCTTCCTGGCGAGACAAATACAGGTGAAGAGATGCAACAAAAAAATGGCCGTGAAAATTTTAGAATAAATACTTTTTTGGTAGTAATTGATACATTGTCAGAAGAACTGAAAAGACGCCGGGATGCTTATAAATTACTCTACAATAAATTTTACTTTATTACCAACCTGACGAATCTAAGCATCTCAGAAGACGAAGATAAGGCCAAGGCATTGCAAATGATTTATTATGTATAATAAATCATTTGCAATGCCTTGGCCTTATCTTCGACTTCTGAGATGCTTAGATTCGTCAGTATACTGACTTAGAAGACAATTTTATAGAAGAATGTCTTCATTTTCGTTCTCAGTGCAGCATAAAAAATGGGGAGCGAAAGAGTGCAGTCAGTTTGTTGAAATGGTTACGAACCGAAGGTCTTCAAACCATTTACCCAAACGTGGATATTGCTCTTCGTACACCCGCCAGTAACTGTACAGGAGAAAGATCGTTTTCTTGTTTGCGCAGAGTTAAAAACTATTTACGCACAACAATGACGCAGCAGAGGTTAAACGATCTTGCTTTGCTTAACATTTTTTAAGCAAATTGGATTGCGAAGATTGAATTAATGATTTGGCTGCGCTTAAGTGCAGACGAGTTTTGTAACACATTGTAAAACATTTATTTTATTAAAAACAAAACCTAAAACCGTTTTAAATGTTTTATTTAAATGTCCAATCATCCCTGAAACCTCGGAAAATATTATAACCTAGCTTTTAGTTCAACAATTTTCTGAATCAATTAAAAGTGGGAATAAAGTAAATTCATGAATTATGTAGGTAGTCTATAATGATGGCTGCTGAGAAAGGGGCGGCACATGGCCTGGGGCCTATAGGCGGATTTGCAGTCCTAGCCGCTCTATAGAGTAGCTAGGACTGCAAATCCGCCACTGACCACTGCCATCTAATGGAGAGTAATATTATCATCTAAATAATACTGGATATAGTACAGTCATCTTAGTCAAAAAAAGGGATCAACCTCGGAATCTAACGGAATAAGCTGAATTTTTGTGAAAACCTTTATTTTAGCATTACAAATGTTGTCTCAAAAGTCACATATGCCAACGTGTGAGCGGCCTTAGATATTCAAGGTCAAAGGTCGCAAAAATCAGTTTTTTAAGAATATCTCGTTTTCTCTGCCTCCTATCGTATTTGTATTTATTATAAAAGTTGTAGAAAATAAAATTCTCTACAAA